AACAAAGAAAACCCAGAGAGCACTTTTAAGTAATTGCATGGAAACGAGCAATGGAGCCAAGGAGCTTTGGACTGTTCAGAACCTCTCTGCTGAACATACAGCTGGTAAATATCCCACAATTCAAAAGAAAAATGGCAAAAAATCGGCCTGAGTGCACATGAGAATGATGGTTTTTTTACATGACCTCCTACTTGCAAATCAGCCAGCGAGAGACACCGCAGCGGTCAGAGCCTCTCGCGCAGGGCCAGGCTTGGACAAGGGAGCAAGAAAACATTTGCCTGGACAAGGCTCAGCTCCCGAGCTGTGAGAGCTGCACAACGGTTAAGAACAGAATAAAACAGGCCTTGGCCAGGCCAATGAGGACAAAGGCGACCAACGGCAAGAAACCAGGCAAGACAATCCGCCAGAACCTGTGTTTTGAGGCCGCTCCAGTGAGCTGGCTGCTCCCTGAGCTGAGGCTTCTCCGGCGGTCAGCCCAGCGCCGTGCCCCGTGCCAGGGCGCGATGGCTCTGCACTGACACTGCTGGCACTCCCGGCACCGGCACCGCGCTTTCAGGGCAAGACGCAGCCTTGGGCAGCAACCTGCAAAGGTCCGTGAAGGAGAAGAGGAACCGAGCGCGGACTCACCCAGCTGGCAGGCGGGGCCGTGGAAGCCGGGGGCGCAGACGCACGCCCCGGTGACCGGGTGGCACTCCTGGGTGGCTCCGGCACACTGGCAGATCTGACCACAGCCCTCGCCGAAGGTCCCTGGCAGGCAGGCTGTCAGCAGAGAGGGCACCAAGGTGACTCAGATTCGCTTAGCGGGAGCTATCCCATCCCTCTGTGCAAGACTTTTTTTGCCTTTTTATTTTAAGGCAGGATTTAGGAAGCCTTTTATGACAGTGAAAGTTCTCTGCCACCCAAAAAGCAAAAGGAGCTGCACGCAAATGGTTCCTTGACTCCAGGAAAGACGTGGATTGAAAAGAAAACTGAGTACTTAAAGGCATTAGATGCCTTTAGCAATGCTAGCCCTACCTACCCTCGTACTCCCGCAAGCTTCCATCCCCACACACACAGACATCGCAAATGCACCCCTCTCCCCTGGGTGAGGAATGTGCTCGCATGCCTCTGGCCCTTCCAGACTTGCTCCTACCCACAGGAGCGCATTTTAATACTGATTTATTGCTAATCCTCTGGATAAATACATAGCTCTGATTTCCCACTTGGCTCCCTGTGCTTTGCTAACATTCTGCGGGCATGCACCCAGCTGCCAAAACGTGAGCTGCTCCTTGGCACAGCTCGCTCTTGGTATTTTTTTCTTGTTTTTCTTTTCCCCTTCTATTTTATGTAGCAATTGCTTGACCCGTCATGTTCCCAGAGCCTGTCAGCGGAACGGTAAGAGGATCACTCCATCTTCGTACGTTTTTCACATCCAGAGCCTGTAAAGCCCGGCGGGCAGCCGCAGCGGCCGGTGATGTGATCGCAAGGCACTCCCAGGGGACAGGCGCAGCGGCTGGCACAGTTCTTCCCGAACGAACCCGGCAGGCAGGCTGTGGGAAAACAAGCAAGGAGATGTAAGTCTCCTGACTGGATTTCAAGTTATTGTTAATGCCTGCAAGGCTTTGGAGACCAAGGGCCAGCTCTTGCCCTCAGCACCTGGCTGCCGCATGCGGTGCTGAGCCAGAGCCCCACTGCAGCAGCCAGCTAGGCAGCGTTTTTTGCAGCAACCCAAATGCCTCTTTCAGGGCACACTGTCAGCTCCTCAAAACGTTTTGTCACAATTTGTAACTTTTATTAAAGACAAAATTTCTCCTCTTGCCAGACTTTGGAAGGAGCCCAGTTTCCCCTGAGCCAGGGATGGACCCAGCGGAGTCCGGACGCCGTGCCGCCAAAGGGATGCTGGCTCACCTTTCTCACAGCGCCGGCCCCTCCAGCCACGAGGGCAATCGCATGCGCCGGTAACGTGATGGCACGACACGTTGTCCCCACAGTCGCAGTGCTCTTCACAGCGTGCCCCGAACAGCCCCTCTGGACAAGCTTCAGAGATGCAAACACGGGAGAGGAGACAAATTACACAAAAAAGGTAACATGGCTCTTTTTTCACTGCAGTTTCTGTAGGCACATACTTCACTTTATTTATGGCCCTTTCATTCCTGCCAAGCCAGAGCGGTGCTGTGACAAGTCCGGTGACATGTGCCAGCTGCAAAGGTATTCTCCCTCCGGCAAGCGGTGCGGCTGGGCTAACGGCCCTCTTGCCTTTGCTTCAGTGGCATGGGCCGCACCAGCCTGCCAGCGCGGGGGCTGCAGTCCCTCTCTCGCCCCACGGCACGTATGGTGTGGGAAATCGTCGCACGGCCCAGACCTGAACGCGCGCCCGCTGCCCCTGAGCGCGGGAGCACGAGTGTCTCAGCCACGTCACCGGACAAACCTGCTCAGGGTACGCGAGCGTGAAGTGTACTGCTGGCTGGCACCTAAGTTGCTGTGAAAGTCTCTCTTTAACCGTGCCACATGTTCTCGGAAGTGTTATTCCTGGCACTGTTTAATGAGAGCTGGGCACCAGCACAGTATATTTTAATCACAGCAGCAATCGTTTAGTTTTGCTGCTTCTGTTGTCATAGAAGCACCTGGTTTCTAAAGCAGCTGCAAAACAAAATGTGTGCTGTATCAGGATTATGCAGAAGTTTAGCACTGCAGGCGCAAAATCTGTGAACTTAATTTTCAATTCTGCCTCATGAATGAATGCAAAAAAAAATCAGTAAGTCCCTGTACAACTGTCCAAACAGGTTGCTTGTCCACGCGAGGACCAAGTTTGTACACACAGCTGTGGTGAGAGCGTGGCTGCGCTGTGCACAGCTGGGCAGATACTTGCACATACACGCAGTTTGAAATAGAGCACCGTGGGAAGCCAAGGAGAGGATTCTAGCTTTTTAAAAAAAAAAAATCATACAATTTCTGCATTTTTGGGTGGGTTTTTAAATTAATTTATATTGAAAGAAATTATAAAAGTGAACCTGCAGGTGAGCTCAGCGCAAGCAACTGCGGGCAGGGTGAGGCAGGAACAGTCCCTGGGGTATGATGGCCAGAACCACAGGGGCACCTGGAAGCCAAAACCTCCGAACGCCCATCCTTCCTGATCTCCACCCCAGCAGCTTAAGGCTGCCCGGTGACGGGGACTCGCTGCTGGCAGGTCCGAGGTGTGGGGTTTTGGAAGCGCATGACGCGACGCTAGGAGGGGACAACGTGCCCGAGGATGCGGCAGAATCCTGTGGCTCGCCCTCGGCCGCGAGGTGAGCCGTAGGTTCCGCTCCGTGGCCAAGCCTCGGCTGCCAGCCAAACTGTTTACAGCCACTGCAAACGGCGACATTCCCAGGCAGGAAACCCGAGAGCAGTTTGACGTGGCTGACGGCAGACATAGCTGCAGTGGGCAGCTCCTTTATGCCAGACTTCAGCTGACAAGTAATGGCATTGGACTAAGACATGCCTTTTACACCGTAATATAAGGCGTACGCCAGGCTGAGGTGTCATGACCCCTGAAAGGGAAGAAGCTTGTGGATCTCTTCTTGGCGTGCCAATATTCGATGAAGTCCCTGTTGCTGCTCTTATTAAGGCCAATAGCCTTTTCAACACTTCCTCATAGCACAGGGATTGCCAGGGTATGTGTTACAGTTAAAGATAAGGTGAACACAGGAGCCTGCCGAATGACAGATGTGATTATTTGCTGGGGCTTAGGACTGAAGCCAGGCATTTAGGGTCAGTATAATATAGGCAAGCGTAGAAGAAAGAATGGAAAGGAGATGATCTTTTGTTACTCTTAAAATAAATGGGACAGAGGAAGATCTTCGCTTGGCTTTTTGGCTTTCACCATGCAAGTGGTGGGGGGGACGGCTGCTGCCCTGCCTTCATCCCTGCTTGGAGCCTGCGGCTTTGCACTGATGCCTGGGGACCTGAGCCTTCGGACACCCCAGCCCTCTCCCGCTGGCACCATCGCTTTTAGGACAGCCCTCAAAGGAAAGCACAGCAGTGGACAAAACCAAGGCACACAGCCAGGATCACGGCACCCACGAGCTCTCTGCAGTGCTGAAATGCAAATTTTACATCTTTGCTGTCCCCAGGCCCCCAGAGCCCCTTGTGCGGCACCCGCAGGCGGTACCCATGGTTAGGACCCCCGTGCCCCACTTACGGCTCTCGCACTTCTCGCCCGTCCACCCAGGCTGGCAGACGCAGTGGCCCTTCTGGCGGTCGCAGAGCCCCCCGTGACGGCACTCGCAGCGCTGCCGGCAGTCTGCCCCGTGCTGTCCCTGCGCACACTCTGGGAGGAGGCACACGGTGAAACGCCGCCCTGGCACCCACCCCCCGAACGCGCGCGGGGAAGGACCGCGAGCCCTTGGTCGTGGGCACGCACCACCAGCGCCGTGCACGTCACCCCCAGCCTTTGGAGGAAAACAAGTCCAAAACAGGACAAGTTTGTGCCAGAGCCTGTTTCCCAGTGCTGCGACGCACCGTTACTCACCCAGCTCACAGGCCAGCCCCGTCCACCCCTCGGGGCAAGCGCAGAGCCCTGTGGCGGGGTCACACGTGCCACCGTTTTGGCAGAGGCAGCGCTGGCGGCAGTTCCTCCCGTAGAAACCTGCCAGGCACGCTGAGGGAGAACCAGGCCAAACATCCAAGTCAGAACACAGGTCCAAAGGCAACTGCCAAGCCTCTGGTAGCCTGCTGGAGCGCTAGGTGGATGGGCTGATATATAAAATTAAGCCATTATCGCTTGCAATGAGAGGCAGGGAGAGGAGCTGAGGACACCCTCAGGCTGCTTAGCTGCCCGCATAAAGACATCTGGTATTTCAGCCTGCTCAGGTAAGAGACAGTGATGACACGGGGCATTGGGTGCCCGATCTCTTTAGAGCTTTCTTAGCTCTGGTGGTGGCAAAAGAAAAAAGGTTGGGTGAGTTCAGCAGCCAGGAGAGCTGCTCAGTTGGTAACCTACGCCTTCGGTCCCGAGTGCAGAACATCCTCCTTCCTAGACCCAGACAGTGCCAGTGCTTGGCAGAGAAAAAAAGCCATTTAAGCACATGAATAATTGTTCTCGTGCACAGTTTCACTGAGCTGTGCCTAAAGGCATGGCTGACGGTGTCTGAGCGCTCAGTGCAGTGGACGATCAAGCCCTTACTCTGTGTGCTGCTACGAAACTGCAGGCCTGCAATTTCTGGTGCTCTTGGAGAAGGCAAACTCTGGGCTTCTCTCTTTGCGAATGAATCGGGAAGTGCTGCACAGCTAGTTACGATCTTACTTGCAATCTTGCCTTGCTATCGTACTGTCTCGGCTTTCTGTAGTTGCTACTCCACTGAAAACTCTGACCCACTCAGAGAAACGGCATTTTTAACGCATGCTGGCAGAGGCAGCAGACAGCCTGCGTTAGGAAGCGACCATAAGACGTCTTACCTTGCTGGCACGTGGGTCCCGTCCACCCGGCTGCACAGAGACATCGGCCGCTGACGTGGTTGCAGGTAGCGTTATTGAAACAGTTGCACGTCTGGCTGCAGTTCTCGCCGTACCTGTTCTCCTGGCATGCTTCGTGGGAGCAGAAGCAGGCAAACTGTTAGGCAGCAGGTACGAGTTGCATCAGCCAGAATCCTACTAACCCCCCCAAACGCACTTGTCTGGGCGAGGAACCAACACTGGTGCGTGGCTGCTTTGGACGGCTGTGTAAGTTGGTTTTTACGGTGCTATGGGGAAAAAACAGCTGTATTCTACAGGTGGCTGACTTCCAGACACGGACACTGTTGTTATCATCGATGTTACATCATTTTATCTATTTGGAAACTGTTCTGCTGGATGGCCAAGCCCTCATTACATTCAACAACGACGTGCTCAGTCAGACCCCCCCCAGTCCCTCTCCAAAACCAGAATTAACTTCCACGCAGAGAAAATCACACGTGGGGAACAGACACCTAAACCTCCGGGCTCTACGCCCTAGCAGCGCAAGAGACGGCGAGGGCTCTGGAGTGCCGCGCGGAGGGCTGCTCCTGCCTCGCTCCAGCCCAGCGCAGCCGCAGAAGGTGGGTGCCAGGCCGCAGCGACACCCACCCTGACCGCGGCGACACCACCCTGACCGCGGCGACACCACCCTGGCTGCGGTGACACCACCCTGGCCGCAGTGACACCACCCTGGCTGCAGCGACACCCACCCTGGCCGCAGCGGGGGCCGTCCCAGCCGGGGAGGCAGTGGCACCGGCCCGTTGCAGGGTCACAGCGGGCGCCGTTCAGGCAGTCGCAGGCTTCCCGGCACTCCAGTCCATAAAATCCATCAGGACAGGCTGTGGAAAACAAAAGAGAAATCCCCACAAAATGCCTATACAGAGAGCTGGAAGTCTCCCAGCAGAGATGAGATGCCTCTTGGTGGCCTTTTTTGTCGGTATAATGCTGCACCAGGGTGGCAGCCACCTGTTAATGGCTCTCCCCCTGGCAGGGCAGCAGAATATTGGATGCCTGTGCTCTATGGACACTCAAGGTACAGGACAAAGCTGTGGTGCATCAGACGAGCAAAGGCACAAGGTTTCTGTCCACCAAGTGACCGAGCAGGTTGATGCAGGAGCCAGAAGTCTGCACCCAGGGACCCCTTGGAGAGACCGCTCCACGACCCAACGTGTGTACACACACGGGCGACCGAGGCAGCTGCGCATTTGCTCCTTGTTTACATTTTGTTAGTCTTTTTTTTTTTCCTAGACCTCTTCCCTTCAGAATTAAAATCAGAGACTTAGCAGCTTGCGGACATGCGGTTTTCCCCATCACCATCCCGAGGGACTCTCTTTGCTGTAGCGGGACAGCAAAGGCAGACACGGAGTACAGCCCGCTTAGGAAGTGGTCCACGGGAGCGCTGACAGCGCGGGGTCCCCAGGCCAAGGTACTTACCGTGCTCGCAGAAGGTTCCTCTCCAGCCTGGGCTGCAAGTACAGGCCCCGCTGACGTGGTCACAGGCAGCCCCGTTGTCACACTGACACCGGTGCCGACAGCTCAGCCCAAACCATCCTTCTGGGCACTCTAGCAAGCAGAAGCAAAGGAGACTGAGGAGCCTGTCCTTTCCTGGCGTCCCCAGGAAGCTATGCTAAGGCAGGAGCTCAGGCTCTGAATGGAAATAACAGTATCTGGCAGCTGTGTTTTTATAACGACTAGTGGGCTCTACCCTACCCCTTACAGATGTGTACCCAGGTCACCCAACCACCCTCAGGACAGGACTGGACCCATCACAGACAGGGCACTGGAATTGCACTTCTGTAACTGGGCCAAGAAGCACTGATGGAGAAATCTGCACCACGGCTTCCTCCGCTACCTTACAGGGAGAAGGCAGAAGCCTCCTGGACTGCCTGTCCGATGCCTTTCCCCTGGAAAACAAATCTATGGCATTTGGCTCGGCTTAAGGCGAGCAGGGCAGCCCGCTGGCAGCACTCACTCTCTCCGCAGCGGCTGCCTGTGTAGCCGGCTTCACAGACGCACTGCCCCGTCTCCGCGCTGCAGCTCCCATCGCTGTTGCTGCAGTTGCAGGTGTGAGCACAGTCGGGGCCCCAGCGACCTTCATCGCAGGCTGAAACACAGGAGGGAACGGACCCTTAACGGCGTGGGCTCTGCTTGCTCAGCTTCTCGGTGAGCGAGGGTGCGGGCACAGTGCTGCCTCCTCCTCGGGGTGTTATTTCCCTTGATTACAACTGCTCACTTGGGCAGAAGGACAAACACAGGGGTAGGTCCTCGGAAAACCCAGTGGGACAGTGAGAGCGGGTGCTACACTAGCACATATTTGAGGTGAATTCATTCTGCAAACAAGCCCACTACAGAAAGGCAAGCGGCACCTGGCAGCACTGGCGGGACAGAGCAGAGAAACCTAAAGGATTTCAGAGAGAGACTTCTGGCAGAGGCACAGCACGAAGATGACAATGAAGCAAATGACAGCGTAGCTTTGCACAGGTCAGTGTCTTCTAGGAGCAATGGATAATAAACAGGGGTACAATACCTCTCTGGCAGTTGTACCCCGTCCAGCCAGGTGCGCAGCTGCACGTCCCCGTCACAGGATGGCAATGTCCATCGTTCCCACAGCTGCAGCTCAGCTGGCAGTCTGGGCCAAACCAGCCGGGCGGACACACTGCCAACGCAGACACGTACTAGCTGCAAACGGCTGCTGACACACCGCGGCAAGAAACAGGGGTACAATACCTCTCTGGCAGTTGTACCCCGTCCAGCCAGGTGCGCAGCTGCACGTCCCCGTCACAGGATGGCAATGTCCATCGTTCCCACAGCTGCAGCTCAGCTGGCAGTCTGGGCCAAACCAGCCGGGCGGACACACTGCCAACGCAGACACGTACTAGCTGCAAACGGCTGCTGACACACCGCGGCAAGGGCTGTCTGTCCTCCTGGCAGACCCGATGGGTGCGGCAGCGTGCCTCTGCAGACCTG